GAAATAGTATTTCATTAATCTTTATTTATTTTTTTAAAGAGACACAGTCTCACTTTGTCACCCTTGGTAGAGTGCTGTGGCATCACAGCTCATAGCAACCTCCAGCTCTTGGACTTAGGTGATTCTCATGCTTCAGCCTCCTGAATAGTTGGGACTACAGGTGCCCACCACAATGCCTGGTTATTTTTTTCTGTTGTTGCAGTTTGGCCAGGGCCGGGTTCGAACCTGCCACCCTTGGTATATGGGGCCAGCGCCCTATTCACTGAGCCACAGGTGCTGCCCCGTTAATTTTTATCTTAAGCTAGACATTTAATACTTTTCCCATTTCAAGCAATATGGCAACATTTTATTTTTAGTAACAATAAAATGGTTGATGTAATTAATTTTATGTGGTTATATGAGATCTTTGTTATGGACATCTGGTAGAAGGTATAAAATAGCTTATTAAGTGATCACATAATACTTAAATCCTGTTTTTAACTTCTTAAACTATTTTATTCAGGTTGGTTTGTCTTCCACAAATGCAGAAATAAGAGAATTTATAGATCAGAATCTCAGTCCAACTAAAGGTAAGGATTGTTGAATAAAAATTTTCTGAATTAAGCTAATTTTATTGTATTTTTTGTCAAATATGAAGCTGCATGGATTACTTTATGTATAATAATAGTTATTAGTGTATCATATGCATAATAATAGTTATATGACATTAGTGTGCTATGCCATGCCAGATAACTTGTATTGTATGGAGCCAGTTACCTCTAAGAGGCTGGGGGTTTGCAGTGTGATTTTTTTCTCTTTCCTAAGAGATCTCTCAAATCTTTGATCAATGATCTTATTCTAATTGAAATCATTCAAACTACATTTTTTTTTTTATTTTCCTGATTGAGAGTCCTACTTTTGGCTGGAGAGCCAATAATCCCAGCACTCCAGGAGGCTGAGGTGAGTGGATTGCTTGAGGTCAGGAGTTTGAGACCACCCTGAGCAAAAGCAAGACCCTATCTCTACTAAGAACAGGAAAATTAGCTGGGGATTGTGGTGAGCACCAACTACTCAGGAGGCTAAGGCAAGGGAATTGCCTGAGCCCAAGAGTTTGAGGTTGCTCTGAGCTGTGACACCCTGGCACTCAGTACTGAGGCTAACAAAGTGAGGCTCTGTCTCCAAAAAAAGAAGAAGAGAGTCCTACTTTTGAGTAGTTTAGCTCACAAGCAAGTACAGTTGAGGAAATAAATATATAACTTTCTATATATTTTCTATATACAGGGTGACCATAAAGTTTGTGTGCAATTGGACACTATTTTAAATAGCACACAAACTTTATAGTCACCCTGTATTTACATATAAATTCCTTTGACTGACATATGGCTTACTGGGGGAATGTTCATACCAGAAATCTGACCTATCAGTACAAGAACTTATGCGTGGACCAGCAGTATATTTCATGTGTACCTTTGAACAGCATCTTTTAATATATAAAGATAGATGCTGAAATGTTTACAGATAAAATGATGTGGTATCTGGAATTGGCTTCAAAATAACCAACTAGAAGAAGGAAGGTAACGTGTATAGCATTATAGATAAAATAATATTGTCTATCAGTTGGCTAATTATTTAAACTCAGTTTTACCTATATGAGGTTTCATTATTCCTTTCTTTCTTCCTTTGACTATGTCTGAAATTTTCCACTGCAGAAGGTAGGAGCACAATGTACGCCATTACAATACAAATAGCTATGAGAGAAATGGCTTCAGCAAAGGGTTTATGTCTAACATGGAAGATATACTCTGCAGAGAAGTCTATAGAAGCTACATTTCAGTATTAACATGTCTAGCTTAATAATACGTGCTGGTTCTTATTCTGGGAGCTTAAGTGTGTATTGTGAGGCCATTTAAGAGTTACTTCAAGACTGATACTTCTCCGATTTTTTTTTCACATGATGGCATGCATAAAAAATGATAACAGTGTTTGAATGCACTGGGGCTAAACAAAAGGGCTCTTAGAAGTAAGCTAACTAGAAGCTCTAGCTGCTCTGACCACTCCTGGCTGCCCTGAGGGCTGAAGGGATCAGTATCTTAGTATACCAAAGCTTATTTACAACACATAGTTGGGAATCTTTGCTCTAATAAAATGTAATATTCAGATCAAAGGAAGGAGCTGGGACCATAAGCTTGGTATAGATAGTGGAAACACAAACATCGTAACATAATCATTTGTACCCTCATGTTAATCCCGAAATGAAAAAAAAAACAGATAAAGAAAACTTTATCAAGTAATGTGATGAGGATAATGGGGTGATGCAGCAGTCCTGAAAACAGGAAAGGAGAGAATAACAGGTCATAAAGGGGAAGGGTGACATAGAAAAATGCCTTCAAAAGACAGAAGACAGGCCGGGTACAGTGGCTCATGCCTGTGATCCTAGCACTCTGTCTGGCTGAGGCAGGAACATTACTTGAGGTCAGGAGTTTGAAACTAGCTTGAGCAAGAGCGAGATCCTCATTTCTGCCAGAAAAATTAAAAAAAAAATAGAAAAATTAGCTGGATGTGGTAGTATGTGCCTATAGTCCCAGCTTCTCAGGAGGCTGAGGCAGGAGGATCGGTTGAGGCCAGGAGTTTGAGGTTGCAGTGAGCTATGATAATGCCGCTGCACTCTACCCAGGGCAACAGAGTGAGCCTCTGTCTTATGGAAAACAAAACAAAAACACAAAGGAAGAGAATGAGGGTTTCAGTGAGGAAGGTTGTCTTTGATGGGAGAATAGGCATCTGAAGGGTAAGAAAGCTAGTTAGAAAGGTCAGCCTTGCATATATGTTAATAATAGTAAAGTTTATTTACAAAGTAAAACTTTCTCAGTTTGCTTAACATCATAAAACATATACAAAAGGTGGAAATAGAGAATTATTTGAAAAATAAAGACTAGAGCAGTCTGGTTTTGAAATATCTATCTATCTATTCTTTGTGAGGCAGGGTCTTACTGTGTTGCCTAAGCTCATCTCAAACTTCTGGGCTTAAGCAATCCTCCACCTCGCCTCCTAATTAGCTGGGATTAATGGCGTGTCCCAGTGCGCCCAGCTGAAATAACTATATATTTTAAAAGAAAATTGTTAGTTTTCTTTAAGCTGTTGGCTGATGATAGCAGAAGGAACTCTCATCTTGGGTCTATAATAGATATTACCTGAATATCACCAATTAAAAAAAAATGTTTAAACTTTTTAAAAAGTTTACTTTTAAACTACAGGTTTAAAGTGCTACAGGTGGCGAACCAATTATAAAACAATGTTTTCTTTTTTACATATTGTTTTCTTTCATTATATATTTCTGTTGTGTTTAAAAGTAGTACACACACGCACAGAGTGTACAAAAAAGGTATACACATTTTAAGAACAAAAAACTGTATTAAAATTGTAATATTCAATTGACTTCTGTAATTATAAGAGGTACTCAAATATGATTTGTATTCATCTCCTGATATCAGTATATATTATTACAATTATGTATGTAGTTTTATATTTTGCTTTTTTGACCAAATTAAAAAACAAAACACTTCCCTTATTTTGACAGTCTTTGTAAATACCATTCTTAGAACTTCATACTATTTCATTGTATATATAAATCATAATTTATTAAACATGTATCTATTGGCTTATTATTGGATATGTTAGTGTTTTTTGTTATTTTATATATATGATGTGTTTATATATATATGATGTAACGTGTACATAAAATGTTGGCAATCATCCATTTTACTTATAGAATTCTCTTTGGTGGTATCACTTTATTAAGGATAGGGAAAAAAGCAGAGTGTTTTTCCTATTCACCTACACTATTCAACACTAAACACTTAGCCTCTGCTCACCAAAATATGTGGAGATTTCTCCCCACTAGCCGGCATTCAGCTGTGACACTACTGACCTGGAGAGAGCTTCATATGCTACTAGTTAAGGGCTCAGCTCTGCAAGGCTTTTCCCTACCTCACATGCTAATCATAAGCCCCATGTTGAGAACTGCGCTTTTGACAGTATAAATTGGGGTTTACCCGAATCTCTACTCAGGTTTGATTAATTTGCCAGAGCAGCTTACAGTACTCTATCAGAAAAGAAATAAGTTTGTTTATGTTTATTGACTAACTAACAAGGGGTGTAATAAGAATACAGATGCATAGCAAGGTGAAGAGTTACATAGGGAGGAGCGTCTGTCCTCATGGATTTGGGGCTTGCCACCCTGCCAGCACACAGATACGTTCACCAACCTGGAAGCACGCCAAACCTCATAGTTCAGGGATTTTTGTGGAGCCTTCATCATGTAGGCATGATTAATTATTAACTCCATTTCCAGCCTCTCTCTCATCTCTTGTGAACAGAGGGTGCAATTGAAAACTCCAAGCTTGGCTCAGCGCCTTTAGCTCAGCGGCTAGGGTGCCAACCAAATACACTGGAGCTGATGGGTTCAAATCCAGCCCAGGCCTGCCAAACAATGACAACTACAAGCAACAAATAGCTGGGCGTTGTAGCAGGCGCCTG